TGCAATTGGTCATTTTGTTCATTTTCCTAAGCATAGTTTAGCTTTAAGTGTGTTATTGCAGCTGGGCATGGCGACTCACACGTGTAATTGTGGCGCTTTGGGAAGCCAAGGTAGGAGGAATACTTGAGCCCAGGAGTTGAGGCTAGCCTGGGCAACATGGCAAGACCCCATGTCTACAAAAATATAAGTAAATTAGCCAGACATAGTGGTGTGCACCAGTAATCCCAGCTAATTGGAAGGCTGATGCGGGAGGCTTGCTTTTGCCCAGGAGTTTGATGCTCCAGTGAGCTCTAATAGTCCCAGCGCACTCCAGCCTGGGTGACAGAGTGAGACTCTGTCTCTAAAGACAAAACAAAGCGTGTGTTAATACTCTCAGCCAAAGGCCACCAGCAGTGCACCAAGTTGACAAGCTGGGTTTATTACCCGTTACAGTGAGGGACAATACACAGAAGGGGCATTAGAAAATGGACGGCAGAAAGGTGGGACAGGGTTTGGGTGTGTATTAGGTAATTTTGGGAGGGGTTAGAGAAATGGTTTTGCTCTCGATTGGATGCTGTCAGGATGCTGGGGTAATTAGACATCTTCATCATTCTTATCTATAAAAGAAGAATTAAGGGAGGCAAAGGCTTTAATTGAAAAGAAGCAGCAGGCCAGTCACGGTGACTCATGCCTGTAATTCCAGCACGTTGGGAGATCGAGGCGTGTGCATCACCTGAGGTCAGTAGTTTGAGACCAGCGTGAGCAACATGGCCAAACTCTGTCTCTACTGAAAAATACAAAAATTAGCCAGGCGTGATGGCGGGTGCATGTAGTCCCAGCTACTCGAGAGGCTGAGGCAGGAGAATCACTTGCACCCAGGGGCCGGAGATTGCAGTGAGCTGAAATCACACCACTGCACTCCAGCTTGTTTGACAAGAGCAAGACTCCCTTTCAAAAAAGAAAAAAAGAAGCAGCAGTCACTCATTCTAGCCAGGATGGGGGCTGTTTGGTCATTTTTGTGGGTTGGACAATGTTCCTGTTTTTGTCTGCGTTCAGAAGTGATTATGGAGTGGTCTTATTTTTGTCTTGGTTGGATGTTAGGGTTTGGATATGGTTTGTTAGACCCTGCCAAGTCTCATGTTGAAACGTGATCCTCAGTTGGAGATGGGGCCTGGTGGAAGGTGCCTGGGTCGTGAACGTGGATCTTTCATGAATGCCTTTTTGCCACTCTGTAGGTAGTGAGTGAGTCCTTGGCTCTATTCGTTCCCCCAAAAGCGGCTTGTTAGAAAGCGCCTGGCACCTGCTGCTATCTCTTTACTTTCCCCCTTGCCGTGTGATCTCCGCACACAGAGTTCCCTGCCCCTCCCACCATCAATGGAAGCAGCCTGAGGCCCTCCCCAGATCCAGATGCAGACGCCATGCTTCTAGTGCAGCCTGCAGAACTGTGAGCCAAATAAACTCTTTTAACTTACCCAGTCTCAGATATTCCTTCATAGCAGTGCAGATGGACCGCGACATCCATTGTGCATGGTCACAGAGTGGCCTTGTCTGATGTTGATGCTCTATGAAACTGGCCATGTTCAACAGGACACCCAGGAATAACTGTGAGAACCAGGCTAGCTCCAGGATATGAGAGGATGTGCTTTTCTCTTTATCAAATAGGCATTCCAAAATTTTTTAAATTGCAATGTGAATTTAAAAGATAGTTATCTCGGCCAGGCATGATGGCTCATGCCTGTAATCCCAGCATTTGGGAGGCCAATGCGGTGTTCACCTGAGGTCAGGAGTTCGAGACCAGCCTGATCAACAAGGTGAAACCCTGTCTCTACTAAAAACACAAAAAATTGGCCAGGTGCAGTGGTGGCTCATGCCTGTAATCCCAGCACTTTGGGAGGCTGAGGCAGGTGGATCATAAGGTCAGGAGTTCGAGACCAGCCTGACCAGCAAGGTGAAACCCCATCTCTACTAAAAATACAAAAATTAGCCGGGCACGGAAGCGGACGCCTGTAGTCCCAGCTACTTGGGAGGCTGAGGCAGGAGAATTGCTTGAACCTGGGAGGCAGACGTTGCAGTGAGCCGAGATCGCACCATTGCACTCCAGCCTGGGCGACACAGTGTGACTCCATCTCAAAAAAAAAAAAAAAAAAAAAAGATAGTAATCTCATCTATTACTTCTTATTCATAGTTGAGTTTAATCTAGAAATTATATATATTCTATATATAGAGATGAGGTCTCTTTCTGCCCCCCAGACCGGAGTGCAGTGGCACAGTCATGGCCCACTGCAGTCTTGAACTCCCAGGCTCAAGCAACCCTCCCACCTCAGCCTCCCTAGTAGCTGGGACTACAGGTGCTTGGTGCTTGGCTAAAACCTCACTGTATTGAGGGGGAGATTAAAGTCCAGACAGGGAGAATGAGGTGCCTGGAGATGAATGGGCTTCATCTACTAACAGACAGTTCTCGAGCTGACTTCCCATTAGCAGCCTCCTCTGCCATTTGTGGGCACCCCTCCTATGCATGAGCTGGCACTGAGCTAACTTACCCTACACATCCCCCGCCCATGTCACAAACACACCCTTCTATCCTCCAACGCAACTTCCCATCCACCTAGGGCACAGCTTCCATTTATGTGTGATGGAGTTAGCTGAGCTGCTATACTCAGAATAAAACTATGCACGGTTAAAAGCCTGGAATTCATTCCTTAGACGGGGGCTTTGTAAGGATAGGGATCTTTGCATCTTTTGGACCTCATCAGAGATTGCCTCATGGAAAGAGGGTCTTCCGTGAGTATTTATTGCATTTATGGCCATGGGTATTGAAGGTGATGGGGTGGTGAGGGGCAGAGGGTGATCTTTAGAAAGACCTACATTTGCCGGGTGTAGTGGCTCACGCCTGTAATCCTAGCACTTTGGGAGGCCAAGGTGGGTGGATCACCTGAGGTCAGGAGTTCAAGACCAGCCTGGCCATCATGGTGAAACCCCATCTTTGATAAAAGAAAAAAAAAAAAAAAGACTAGATGAGAGGAATGCCTCTTTACCAATCTTTACACGTTTCTAGGCAACTACCTACATAGCGGCTACCCTGCTGAGTTTCACAGACAGTTCACACTGGGTCCACAATGGCACTCTGGGCGTCTTCCTGAGCATTGCCTCCTGCCAGTCTTCCCCCACCATAAATGACACCATTGAACCACCAGACAGTGGATGAAGTCAGAAACTTAGAGCCAGGGGTGGTGGCTCATGTCTGTAATCCCAGCAGTTTGGGAGGCCGAGGCAGGTGGATCATTTGAGGTCAGTAGTTTGAGACCAGCCAGGCCAACGTGCTGAAACCCCATCTCTATTTAAAAATACAAAAATTAGCTGGGCATGGTAGTGCATACCTGTAATCCCAGCTACTCAGGAGGCTGAGGCAGGAGAATCACTTGAACCCAGGGGGCAGAAGTTGCAGTGAGCCAAGATCTCGCCACTGCACTCCAGCCTGGGTAACAGAGACTGTCTCAAAAAAAAAAGTAACCAGGTGTGGGGGTGGATGTCTGTAATCTCACCTACTCCAGAGACTGAGGCAGGAGAATAGCTTGAACCCAGGAGGCTGAGATGCAGTGAGCTGAGATTGTGCCACTGAACTCCAGCCTGGGCGACAAGAGCAAAACTAAGTCTCAAAACTATAAAAATAAAATTAAAAATATTCTGTAAAGATGGGGTCGCCCTATGTTCCCCAGGCTGGTCTCAGAACTCCTGGGCTCAAGCAATTCTTCCTCCTCCACCTCTCAAAGCGCTAGGATTTTGTCTTCAGCTTTCTGGAAGGGTTCACCTCAAGACCCGTCATTTATCTATCAGCCAAGGTTACCAATCAGTCACTGGCCACCTCACCCCCTCAACTCACAGTTAATCTCAACAGCATGAGGCCGGGTGCGGTGGCTCACACCTGTAATCCTATCACCTTGGGAGGCCGAGGTAGGTGGATCACCTGAGGTCAGGAGTTCAAGACCAGCCTGGCCATCAGGGTGAAACCCCATCTTTAAAAAAAAAGTAAGACTCACTGCTCACTTTAAATCATTAAAGAACATGTAGAAATTTATTGAAAGTTACTCAGGGATGAAGACAAAAGCATAATTTGAGTATTCTTTTCCCCTTTCCCCGAGTCCAATGTTCCATCACATACATCTGCGGCCCGAAATTGTTTTCAAATTAAAAAATTGAAAACCTCCACTTGGCTCCTCACCATGCCCTGTTTCCTCCCCCCACTTAGTCCTTGCCCTCTGTGTCCTTTCATCCCTTTATGCAGGAGTAATCTTGGCCTCTTATAATTCAAGTTTTTCCCGTCATTTTGAATATTTGGATGGAGATGGGGAGTGGAAGTTACAAGACTTTTTGGGGAAGATTTATCTGATAATATATTTCCAGTACTTTAGAAAAAAAAGTGGTCAGGGCGGTGTGACTCCCTATAATCCCAGCACTTTGGGAGAGTGAGGCGGGTGGATCACAAGGTCAAGAGGTCAAGACCAGCCTGGTCAACATGAAGAAACCTCACCTCTACCAAAAATCCAAAAATTAGTGTGGCGTGGTGGGTGCCTGTAGTCCCAGCTACTCAGGAGGCTGAGGCAGGGGAATAGCTTGAACCCAGGAGATGGAGATTGCAGTGAGCCAAGATGGCACCACTGCACTCCAGCCTGGGCGACAGAGAAAGGAACCATCTCAAAAAAAAAAAGAAAAAAAGAAAGTGGCTGGGTGGGGTGGCTCACACCTGTAATCCAACACTTTGGAATCTGAGGCCCCCAGATCACCTGAGATCAGGAGTTCAGGAGCAGCCTGGCCAACATGGTGAAACCCCATCTCTACTAAAAATACAAAAATTAGCCAGGGGAGGTGGTGCACACCTGTAATCCCCACTACTTGGGAGGCTGAGGCAGGAGAATCACCTGAACCCGGGAGGTGGAGCTTGCAGTGAGCCAAGATCGTGCCACTGCACTCCAGCCTGGGCAACAGCGCAAGACTCCATCTCAAAAAAAAGAAAAGAAACAAAACTACTTTTGATGATACCTTGAGGCAACCCAGGTGAGACTCCGCTTGAAATTTATGAGCATGAACTTGAGCGCCTTTGTCCACAGCTCCTGCGTGTTCAAATGGGTTCTGATGGAATAGCATTTCCCGAGGCCGCCAGTGTCTTCCGTCAGGCCGTTCTCCACCTGGATCCCGTAGGGCAGACAGAGGCCCGACTCACCCTTCTCAGCCTCATCCTTGAACTGCTGCATGAGGTCCAGGAAGGCCACCATGGCGCGGTCAAACTTGTTATTGAAGAAAACATCCTGCCCCCCGTGGCAGAACAAGGGCAGCTCCGTGCGGTCATCTGTCAAAGACTTCAGATAGGAATGGCTTCCGCAGGGCATGAGTCGATACCTCCGAAACTCCAGTCCAACTGTATTGGCCAGGGCAAGGAGCAGCAAAGCCGCCTGTCCCCAGGCAGCATTAATCTCTTTCCAGCTCACAGGGACAGTGGGGAGGCAGCCCAACCTGAAGTTATTGATGACGCCCACGGGGCCCTCCGCCCAGATCTCAAATGTGGCATTGAAGCAGTTGATTTCCTCCAGCTGGTCGAGCTGGACCCTGGCATACTGCAGCTGGTTCTCCAGGTGCCCCAGCTGGTCAAGCAGTTCCAGCTGCTGACACTCCAAGGCACTGCAGTCCCTGTAGTCCTGCCTCTCCTGCTGGCCCAGCTCCGCAGCCTCTGCCTGGGCTGCCTCGAGGTCTGCGGCTGTTCTCGCATGGTCGCTATCCACATCCTCCAGCTCTTGGGCCAGCCTGGCCTCCTGCAGCTCCAGGTCCCGCAGCTCCGCCCGCAGAGCCTCCGTCTCCTCCTCGCTGGTCGCCAGCTCGCCGCTCTCCAGGCAGCGCTGGTAGTTCTGACTCTCCGCTTCGGTGAGAGCGAGCTGGAAGTCCAGCTGTTCTAGAAGACTGTCGGTGCACTCTTCACACAGGGGATGGTCCACATCTTCTTGGCCAGAGACGATGTCAAAAATGTCACCAGCTGCCTTCTGGATGCTGCCGAGCGTCCGCATGGCGCCAAGCCTACCCAGCAGGGTGAAGATGCCGGTACTGTGGTTGGACACACAGCCATCCCCTGGAAGGGGTGGGCCGGAGGCACCATCCTGCTGCTCTTCAGCGCCTGTCACCTCCCTGGTGGCGCCGGGCTCCTGGGCGTCTCTGGGCTCAGCCTGCCCGGAGGTGAGCGCCGGGGCTGCAGGGAGGGCCCCGGACTCCGAGGAGCAGCTCAGCTTCAGGGCCTGGTCGCAGCGCTGGCACAGGAAGCGGATGGAAGACATGGCGGAGGGCCTGACTCCCACCTTGAGTCCGTTTCCTCTGGCCCTCTAGTTGTTTATCATTTTATACCTTTCAGGTCTTTCTAGAAGAGTGATCCTTTTAAAATGCAGATGTCATCTTGTCACTCTCCTGCAGAAAACCCTGCCATGGGACCCTCCGTCGGTACCTGCAGACCTCATTCGGCTCCTTACAGAACAGGGATTATTTCCAAAAGGAAAATCCGATCATCTCACTTTTCTCCTGTAACATGTCCAAGGGATGCCTTAAGAGTAATCTTGCGGCCGGGCGCGGTGGCTCACGCCTATAATCCCAGCACTTTGGGAGGCCGAGGTGGGTGGATCACTAGGTCAGGAGATAGAGACCATCCTGGTCAACATGGTGAAACCTCGTCTCTACTAAAAATACAAAAATTAGCTGGGCGTGGTGGCGCGTGCCTGTAGTCCCAGCTACTCAGGAGGCTGAGGCAGGAGAATCACTTGAACCCAGGAGGCGGAGGTTGCGGTGAGCCGAGATTGAGCCATTGCACTCCAGTTTGGGTAACAAGAGCGAAATTCTGTCTCAATTAAAAAAACAAAAAAAAGTAATCTTGCTAAACAAAAAAAATCTCATCATGGCACTGCCCTCCTTAAAATGTTTAACACCCTTATCTTACCTTAAGATAAAGCCCAATCCACTGCGGCCGGGGGCGTGGGCTCACGCCGGTAATCCCCGCATATTGGTAGGCGGAGGCGGAAGGATCGCTCCAGGCCATTAGTCTCATACTACCCCGGGCAACAGAGGCAGACCCCTTCTCTACAAAAAGTGAAAAAATTAGCTATGTGGGGTGGCCGCTTACAGTCCCAGCTACTTAAAAGGGTGAGGTGAGAGATTGCTTCAGAGCTGGAGGCTGCAGTGAGTTATGATCTGCTACACTCCTCCTGACTGGGCAACACAGTGAGACCCTGAATCCAGCCCCGACCCCCTCACCCCCACTCCCCTTTTTCTCTCTCTGTCTCTCTTACACACACATACACACACACGCACACACAGACACATCCCAAAAATAAATTAAATAAAAGAAAGAAAGAAAGAAAGAAAAGTTCAGGCTTGGCACAGTGGCTTACGCCTATAATCCCAGCACTTTGGGAGGCCAAGGTGGGTGGATCACCTGAGGTCAGCAGTTCAAGACCAGCCTGGCCAACATGGTAAAACTCTATCTCTAATCTACAAAAATTGGCTGGGTGTGGTGGTGGGTGCCTGTAATCCCAGCTACTTGGGAGGCTGAGGCAGGAGAATTGGTTGAACCCAGGACATGGAGGTTGCAGTGAGCTGAGATCGCACCACTGCACTCCAGCCTGGGTGACAGGGAGAAACTTGGTTTAAAACAAGTGAAAAAAAGAAAAGTTCAATCATTTTAACCTAACACCAAGGCCGGGGCCCACCTTTCCCGCTGCTTCTCTCCCCACTTCCTGCCCTCCTGAGCGGTGGGCTCCTCTGTGTTCCTGCATGGTAGTTGCATTTCGGTTCTTCCAGCATGTGACCTTGTTCCTCTACCTGGAACACTATTCCTTCACCTCTCCACCTGGCCAACTCAGTCATCCTCTAGAGCTGATTAATTGCTACATTCCACAGTGAACAGATTACTGTTTTATGTTCTTTGAACAATTGATCTGTCTCCTAATTGATTGTGATTGCCTCTCATGTTTAGTTCACTTGGCAGGGTCTGGGAATGATGAATGACCTGGAAAGGGCGAGGGGGCTCTGCAGTCAACCTCTAGAGGATGCTTCTGTTACTGATTGAGAACGTTTCAGAAAGGCCATTATCTGCAAGAACCTTCCCCGGCCTCCAATTTAAGGCTCTCTGTTCTTATGACACACTTAACTTTTTTTTAACTTTTTTTTTTTGAGACGGAGTCCCGCTCTGTCACCCAGACTGGAGTGCAATGGCACAACTCGGCTCACTGCAACTTCCGCCTCCTGGGTTCAAGCAATTCTCCTACCTCAGACTCCCGAGTAACTGGGATTACAGGTGCCAGCCACCATGCCCAGCTAACTTTTGTATTTTTAGTAGAGATGGGGTTTCACCATGTTGGCCAGGGTAGTCTTGAACTCCTGACCTTGTGATCCACCGGCCTCGGCCTCCCAAAGTGCTGGGATTACAGGCATGAGACGCCTTGCCCAGCTGGTACTTTTAGTAGAGCTGGGGTTTCACCATGCTGCCCAGGATGGTCTCAAACTGTTGACCTCAAGTGATCCTCCTGCCACGGTCTCCCAAAGTGCTGGGATTACAGGTATGAGCCACTGCACCTGGCCACACTTAACATTTTTTTTTAGACAGAGTCTCCCTCTGTCACCCAGGCTGGAGTGCGATGGCTCAATATTGCCTCACTGCAACCTGGACCTCAGGATTCAAGTGATTCTCCTGTCTCAGCCTCCCAATAGCTGGGACTACAGATGCCTGCCACCTGTAGTCCCAGCTATTGGGACTAGCTAATTTTTGTAGAGCCAGGTTTTCAGCATGTTGGCCAGGCTGATCTCAAACTCCTAGCCTCAAATGATCTGCCCATCTTGGCATCCCAGAGTGCTGGGATTACAGGCGTGAGCCACCTCGCCCAGCTTGTTTTTTCAATTTTTTTTATTTTCATGGGATCTCACCATGTTGCCCAGGTTGAGGTACAGTGGCACAATCACTGCTCACTGTAGTCTCGACCTTCCAACCTCAAGCGATCACCTAAGGTTGGTAGTTTGAGACCAACCTGACCAACGTGGAGAAACCCTGTCTCTACTAAAAAAGAAATACAAAATAAGCTGGGCATGGTGGTGGGCACCTGTAATTCCAGATACCCCAGAGGCTGAAGCAGGAGAATCGCTTGAACCCAGGAGGCAGAGGTTGCCGTGAGCCAAGATCTTGCCATTGTACTCCAGCCTGGGCAACAAGAGCAAGACTGTCTCAAAAAAAAAAAAAAATGTGTTTTTTTAGTAGAGACGAGGTTTCGTCATGTTGACCAAGACTGGCCTCAAACTCCTGACCTCAAGTGAACCATCCACCTTGGCCTTCCAATGTGCTGGGATTACAGGTGTGAGCCACCATGATTGGCCCATCAATTTACATCAGTTCACCACTTGACCCTTCCTGCAATCTCTCACTCAGTATTTTGTTGTTGTTTCTTTGTTTTTTTTTTTTAGTTGTTTACTCACCCAGTATTCTATCTGAACCCATGCCTGACCCCAATACACTTTTTCAATAACAAAGAAGTTGGTAAAGAAAATGTGGTACATTGCAAGGAAATTGATCAGTGAAGGTAGGTAAAATAAATAAATAAATAAAAGAAAATGTGATACATATACACCATGGAATACTATGCACCCATAAAAAGGAATGAGATCATGTTCTTTGCAGGGACATGGATGAATCTGGAAACCGTCATTCTCAGTAAGCTAACGCAGGAACAGAAAACCAAACACCGCATGTTCTCACTCATAAGTGGGAGGTGAACAATGAGAACATGTGGACACAGAGAGGGGAACAGCACACACCAGGGCCTGCTGGGGGGTCGGGATTGAGGGGAGGTAATTAGAGGATGGGTCAATAGGTGCAGCAAGCCACCATGGCACACGTATACCTATGTAACAAACCTGCACGTTCTGCACATGTATTCCAGAACTTAAAGTAAAATAAAAATAAAAATTTTTAAAAAGCCCAGGCATGGTGGCTCACTCCTGTAATCCCAGCACTTTGGGAGGCTGAGTCAGGTGAATCACCTGAGGTCGGGAGTTCAAGACCAGCCTGACCAACATGAAGAAACCCCATTTCTACTAAAAATACAAAATTAGCCGAGCGTGGTGACACATGCCTGTGATCCCAGCTACTTTGGAGGCTGAGGCAGGAGAATCACTTGAACTCAGGAGTTAGAGGTTGCGGTGAGCCAAGATCATGCCATTGCACTCCAACCTGGGCAACAAGAGCAAAAATCCATCTCAAAAAAGGGGAAAAAATAAAGTTAGTGATTGAGGCCATACTCGATCTACAAAGTCACAGTGGGCTTAGCCAACAGAGACCTGGGTGCGCCAGAACAGTAGGAAGCCATGTGGTCCTGGGGCTTGTCCAATTACTGAAAAGGTGGAACGTGTGTGGACATCACCAGGTGTCAGAGCACAAGACCAAGTAGGGTGCTGTAAAGGAAAGTGAGGCAAGGATCTGGAATAAGGAATTCAGGAACGGATCTGCGAATGGTGAGGAAGCTGAGGGAAGTGAATCCAGGCACATAGACTGTTGCTAAAGCAAAGATATGGGCTGGCAACAGAGTTGGCTTATGGTTATTACCATTCATTTATTAAATTCTACTGTAAGCACTGGGAAAGGGGTGGTGGCAAACATCTGTTAAACTCCTACCATGGGCCGGGCATGCTGGTTTATGCCTGTAATCCCAGCACTTTGGGAGTCCAAAGTGGGTGGATCACGAAGTCAGGAGATCGAGACCATCCTGGCTAACACAGTGAAAACCCGTCTCTACTAAAAATACAAAAAATTAGCCAGGCGTGGTGGCACGTGCCTGTAGTCCCAGCTACTTGGGAGGCTGAAGCAGGAGAATAGCTTGAACCCGAGAGGCAGAGGTTGCAGTGAGCCGAGATCGCACCACTGTACTCCAGCCTGGGAAGACAGAGTGAGACTCCATCTCAAAAATAAATAAATAAATAAATAAATAAATAAAATAAGGCCGGGCGCAGTGGCTCACGTCTGTAATCCAAGCACTTTGGAGGCCAAGGTGGGTGGATCACCTGAGGTTGGGAGTTCAAGACCAGCCTGACCAACATGGCGAAACCCCGTCTTATTAAAAAAAATAAAAATGAAAATAAAATAAAATAAATAAGCGCCTAACATGCTCTCGGTCTTAATGTGACAATTGTATTATCACTAAGCACATATTCACCCTTCCTTCCTCCACGTGGGACTTATTTTGGACTAGGCTGAAGCGACAGCAGGCTAGTTCCAAGACCAGCTTTCATCTAGTCCTCTTGTTGT